TTCTTCTTTTTTTCCCTTTACTTCTACTACCTCTTTAATGAATTTTTTATCAAATGCTCGGGCACGCAACAAACACATCAACTAGCTACTTATTCAGCAAAGAGGATTCATCTATGTGAATTTATTTAAAGAACTTAATTATTCGATATAACTAACGGTTAAGTCTTTGGTGTTTGTACCAATGATTTTTCTATACGCAATTCGTATTTTACGACGTTAATCTTCAAATTCACGTAACTTCTCAATATTCGATGCTTTATATGATATAATAACGTTGAATCATCTGGCTGCAATATAAATCTATATATGCACACTTATCATCTATACATGTACGTATCTCTTAGTAGGCACATGCGCGTATCGTTCGTTTTACGTATTCAATGAAATTAATAAGCACTGTTCACGTGTCCGTGTATCAATTTTGTTTATCCTCGAGAGAAAGTTCCTTGCATCGAGAGAAGGAATACGACGATTACTTGCAATCGACCAACGGTCAATCTGTATCACCAAGTTCGTAGTACTGTTCAGTCGTCCGTAGGAGAAAAGGGAGATGCATCGTTGATTGTACGCAGCAAACACGTTAATACACGTACATAAATCTCTTCTCCAGCAGTCTTATTCATCTAACGTAAATGCGAATATAAACGCAATCAAAGTTGTTATTGCCGTAAATTGGTACATATTGCTCCGGCATTCATAGCCAGAGAGAAGTTTTACAACGGAAAAACAAGAAAAGAAAAAAAAAAGAGAGAGAGAGAGAGAAAGAATATAATGATAATGATAATAAATAAAAGAAAGGAAAAGAAAAGAGTAAGAGGAGTTAGTAGTTCAAGTATTGTGTAGCTTTGAATCATGAATGGAAAGCACGTGTCGTAATCATTAATATCGTACGATCGATTCGTCAACATCGAAAAGAGGAGGAGAAAAGAACCAAGTGAAATATAGGTACGATAGAACGTAACGAGATCGACTCTCTCTTTTGACAAGCTTCGCAAATTATGACAGCGCGCACACTTACGACAACTGATTTCGAGCCATATTGATAAACAATACTTGTCAACAACTGAACGCGACTATAATCCACTTCCTTTTCTACCAAAGAAAATGGAGACGTGCGAATACTCAAGTTTGTTCAACGTCAGCACATATATTCGACAATATTATTGTATTCGTTCGTTTCTTGCCTTTCTCCCTACCGAATCTCCCTTTCTCCCTATAAATGTTAGAACAGTGACACACGTCCGTGACACAACGATAATTACAAAAATGTGATTACGAGTCACGATACACGGTACACAGGACGAAGCAGAATTTGACGAAAATTTCAACTGACGTCCAATTTCACTTTTCCTCATACTCGATCTTTCACTCGTATTACAATATTTTGGCACTTGTTTGTCCGTCAATCTCACAATTTTTCTGCCAATACGTGCGACGTATCAACAGAAGAAATACATACAAATAGCGAAACAAGAATGAACGCGACTTACATATTTAGATGCATCGTTTTTATAAGACGCCCAACTTTCACGCGGTACAATATACTCAATTTCGATTTAATTTCATACGTGCAGTATGCTTGTGCGCGGGCGCGCACGCGTGTATGTGTGTGTGACATTTTATTTTCTCGACGAGAAGGCAGGATTCTTTTCCACTAAAATGCAGGATTCTTCCTTCGTTCGGAACAACACTTATCATTGCCTCAATGAACACAACAAATACTGAGAAAATGTAACAGCACGGTACACACGCGTGTACTTTTGAGAGTTTTTGCTGTGCGATTGAAGAACAACGCACTCGTATTCTAAATGAGGCGCGTCATTCAAAGATATTCACAACACTTTGAGAGCATTGTTATATCGGCTATCATATATCAGCTTGTTTCTACGCTTTTGGTTCTTTCTCAATTTTCAAATGTTTTTGCAATTCCCCCCCTTTCCTCATACACATACATACGTATATGCATATATACACGCACACGCACACGGCTACATACGCGCACACGCATGTACATGTATGTGGAACAATTGACTGAAAAGCTAAGACATTACGGAGGAAAACGTATGTTGCGAATTTCTTTCATTCGATTTACGCACTTTAATGTTGCGTAAAGATATTGAGAAACGGAAAGAATATCATCCGACAAGGCTTGAAAAGAAAAAAAAAGAAAGAAAAAAAGAAAAAGAAAAAAATCATCACTTTCACAACAACGGTGTAAAAGCGAAAAAATGATTTCGTCGTATGCTTCATAGGACAACAGCGGAGAACACCACCGAAGACTAAAAAAAAACGTCGATGAAAGCTAAGAAAACCACTGCTGCTTTCGTTAAACCGGTACAGCCCCTTCGCGTTCCTTTTCTTGTTGTCGCACGGCAACAGCTGCCTCAACCAGTAAGTAAAGACACTTGAACTTGTCTTTATCCTCTTCGGGTGGCGTCGGTGGTGGCGTTTCATCTGTATGGGGGCTGTGAGCGTTACGCGTACTATACATTTCCGTTTCACGCTGTACGTCAGAAGCCTGGATAAGGTGCTGTCTAGGTGCACTCCAATACGCAGCTTCGTTCCCCATAGAAGATTCATCATCGTCCCTGAACACGATTGGAGAAAGAGAGAGAGAGAGAGAGAGCGGGGGGGGGGGGAGAA